CAGTATAAATTTTATAGCATTTCATTTCATACACTAAATAATTTACTAAATCGTACAACTCAACTTATAAATGGGACCCCTATCACGGCCTAATCCATTGTCTGGTTATTGAAAACATATCTATTTCTCCCATCTGGAATGATTAAAGTAGGTTTTAAAGTAACTTTAAAATGGTCACAATGGTGGTTTGTGGTTAAGGATTTTGTAAGATTAAGTATTTGTTACAAATATGTGCCTTAAATTCATTTTTCATTTCAATTTTAAAATGTGTTGTAAGGCTAATTATTTGCTGTTTTTAACATTTAATTAAATGTTTAATTTAATGCTTAATTTAACTTAAATGTTTAATGTAACTTAAACGCTTAATTTAATGTTTTTAACATTTTAACTTAAAATGTGAGCATGCTAATTGATACTGTAACTTATGCATCTGTTATGCATTTCCAAACATATAGATATTCTATAGAATTCCTATACAACTTCTAAAGCAAATGTTATAGATGTCTATAGAATTTTCTATAGAATTTCTATACAGCTTCTAAAGAGAATGTTATAGATTTCTATACAATTTCTCCAGAAATATGAAGTATAATTATTTGCGACAAAATGATACACATATTAAACTCTATGCATTATTTAGTTACTCAACATCAGACCATGGGCCAAATGCAATAGTTTTATTTATTATTATTTTTATTATTATTATTTAATAATGTTTCATGTTCAAAACCAAGCTTCTGCGATAACACATTTATTGAAAATCCAGTGTAGGTTATAAATTGTGCAACAAACTAATTTTCTATAGAGTGGAATACAACATTCTATAGAAAATATTAAAATTCCATAGAATGCGTAAACTCTATAAAACATTTCTATAGAATTTTTTTGCCTCTATAGCGTTACATAGAACTCTATATAAAGTTCTATAGAATTCTATAGAGCTCTATAGAACTTTTTTGTATGGGCTATGTCTGTTCTCGGCGCAGATGCCGATCCAAGTGACTGTGGTCGGGCACTGGCGTCGAACACATTAGACCACTGGACTCAGTGTTAGCTAATACGCCTACTGGAGCCATGGACCACTGATCTGAGGTCCACTACCAGAAGTGTCTAATTTAAACGATTATAAAGTCATCCAAAATGGATGAAAATTTTCATCTTTTCACCCTAATAATAATGTAGTACAAGTTTTCAACTAGTACCCATAGTGCAACCGCTAACCCCTCCTCACCATCATCCCTTTTGCGGCGCTTCCTTTGAAATATACCACCGAGTGTAAGCAGAGTGGAAGACATGCGTTCACAGTAGTGTTTTTTTATTATACTAAATAGAGCGGTATTTGTGAGGTTTTCACTGTAGGCCTATGTGCACAGAGTGAACACATGGTAAAGGTGTGGAGACAATGTGTTGAAAGACACACTGGGGACATATTCTACACAGCGTTCAAACTTTGGAAATAGATGTCCACACAGAAAAACAGTTGAATCCGCCACAGCAGGGCATGGATTTTAATAATTCTTCCTATTTTGGATTATGTGGACATTTCGTTTAAAAGGTCAATCACTTCCTTTGCTTTGTTCAAGACAAGGCCTACTTTCACTTTTTCAAGTTCTGTCAGATATTATGAATTAAAATCCGGTTTAACACCATCATGAGATATGCACATGATAACAGGCATTACATTGAATTAGGTACAGTCACTTTTTATATATATAAATAAAACAAATTTTGGTGAAATAATAAGACGTGTGTGTCGGGAATTTTATAGGCAAGGCCTTAACTGATTTTCAAAATATACAGCTTATCCCTGATACACATGTCAATCACATTTCTTGACTTTGATTCATTTTACACATTGTATTTAGATTGTCAATGCGACTAAACAACCATGAACAAATTGTTCTAACAGGCCCTTTGACGAAGGGTATAACTGTGTTATACGCAATCTAAAAACGTACGAGTTTATCGGCAAATGGAGATTTTTTACTCAAAAGGCGCACTTATTCATGCCAAACAAACATTTGAAATAAAATGATGCAGGTAATGAGTGGTTTCTAGTCGTGATAAATGTGTGAGAATGTGGTGTTATGCAGACCTGGTTATACATGATGAATTTATACATATTTCTTTTGTCGTTATATAGGAGTGTGCACTGGCAAAGGACGTTTAAGAGCTGTTTGTTAAGTGGACAACCCGTCACATATTATTATATTAATTTTAAACCCGAATCGTGATATTAACGTGTGCGTTATTTTCCCCACGGATTTTTCCATCTCACCCCCACCCCTCTCCCATTTTTCTTCACATGATGCTCACTGTACTTTTATAAAGGCAGAACATATTTGTTTTTGTTTATGCTTTGATTTTGTTTTGCTAAGTAAATTAATTATTGTCTTTGTCGTTAGGATGATGCACAATCAAGGTAGCCTATATGTGCCGATGATGCAAAACCGCTAGCTAATCGATTTTTGATCTTCATAAAACTGATCAAACCTAAAATCACACTAGGCCTATAGTTACAGTTTGCATTCGGGCTTACATAAGAGATACATGAAAGAAAACAGATCTCTTAATCTCAACATACTTCTTCTTTTGGCCTATGAATAAGTTACGGGCATCACACCTATTTCCCATTAGTTCTATATATACATGTATACACAAATTTTGTAAAGAGCGGAAATATTCGAGCAGTAGAAGGAGGAAACAGTGATTTTTATTAATTTGATTGACACGTCTGTTCTATATTTGTTGTGTTCAGTGCCCTGATTAGTTATTCTCCTCTACGATTATTATCCTTAAGTTTCTCTTTTAACCTTGCACGGCAGAACATGACCATCTTGGTACAAATGATATTCTTGGCGATATTTAGTTTTTCTTCTCCACTAGGCATCGGCATCGCAATCGCATTGTCAGAGAATCCAAATGCACTCCTCAACGGCATCTTGCAAAGTCTGTCAGCTGGTACGTTCCTGTATGTTATATTTATAGAAATTGTTCCATCTTTGAATCTTCATCACCATCGTGGTCCCTTGAAAGCCCTGGTAATGATGGTAGGATTTGGGGTTATGATTGGTCTGCATTATGTTGAATGAAATAAATCATTCTTTGCGCTCCTTAGCCTTAGGCAAGGAGATGTGTATAAGAGACAGTAGCGCACACTAAACTATGTGCTGATGGAGCATTTTCGAGAAATTGAATCTCCTTTTTTCCATCCCAAAAAACATATTATTAATAAATCAACATGGTCCATCTAAGTCATCATAGCCAGTCACAAAATTAGGCTAGGATTAGGAAGTTTGTTTTCGACAGCAGACACATACAACAGAACGGAGTGCGTCAATCGTTAATGTTTAGTGATAAAGAATCATAACGTAGAATAACTGACTTTATTCGTCGGCTGTTGCAAAGAAGAAAACGACAGATAGTTTATTTAAACAAAAACAAATAAAAAAAAACCAAGATTAATATTGTATAAATTGTATTTTTAAAGATTCATATATGATTCATATTTCATTTGGTAGACAATAAATATTCAGTAAGATACTAAAAACGATTATTAATTCTTAAATGTGCATCAAATCTCAGCTATTATTAATCAGTATGTACTATGTTAAAGTCTTAAAATAATAATTTCTAATAGGCCTAGTATTTAAAAAATAATTAATTAAAGTTTAGGTTCCCATGATGTTAGATGACGCATTGAATATGATGCTATATTTTTGGCTCTGACTTCATTTAACGATGGCCCTGGCCCTGTCAGTAGTAAAGACAATATTTGTAGATTTGTAGAATATATGTAGTAAAATAGTAGGTTTACTATTATTTTCAGTGTACAAAGTGAGAGTAGAGAAGAGTAGTAGAACAAGAAGTATAGGAAGAGGAAGAGGAGGAAGAAGAATAGCCTTTTTGTTTTATAATATTAAATATGTTCAGTATATTCATATTGACTATGCGATGAGGGTTTTTTTTTTCTTTTTTCGGTGTGATTTAAACATGCCAATTCTAAGAAAATATTTTCTAATTATATTATATTACCACTTTTTTTTTCATAGATCTTTTTCAAAACATAACTGCTTTTATAACATTATATAGACCCATTAAACAAACAAAAAAACAACTGCTCCGGCTTCAGGGGCTTCGCCCCCGACCCTACCATGGCCCTTAGGCAGGCCCCAGGATCCCACGCCCAGAGAACCCCCCTTGAAATGACCTGGCTACGGGCCTGTAATTTATGTTTAATTCATATCAAATTCATATTTAATTAATATTAATAAGGCCATGAAACCATAATAACCTTCATTATAAATTCAGATTGATAATGGTTTTTAATTAATGATGGTTCAATCATTGTAATGATACCCAGGTACTATAGGTTCGGGTCTTTTTTCTCTCTCGTCTTCCCTATCTCATAGATGTGGGCCAACAACCAAGTCGTATAATTAAACTGATAGTTACCAAACTAATAGGCTTAATGATAGATAATAGACGGTAGTTGAAGATCGTTTGAATGAGTAACATTAAACAACATACGGTACCACGATTTTTTTAATCGGTGGGGGGGGGGGGAGGAGACATGTATACGATTATACAACATAATTAGCGATATTTTTAAGGGAGATTAGTTCTTGTATTTCAATTATTACGGTACTTTCGATGCCATCCATAAGCTATGGTACAAAATTAAAATTTTCTTGTACTTGAAGCAGAGCTTTTTTTTTTCATGAGAAGGGTGAAACTTCCGGACGCGGCAACAGCCGACTACTTGGCAACATACAGTACCTCATAGACAAGTGACTAAATTGGATAGGACTACTATATAATAAGTTACCAGCAACTTAAAACGTCGGGATACAGTAATAAACGTCTTGTTTTTCTTTGCAGATAATCTGGTGCTGGAGAATACGGTACGAAGCAATGGACATTCTAGTGGTGAAAATAATCGCACTCTTCACGCTCTGTCTTTTGTCTCTTTTAGCTGGTTCACTACCGTTGTTATGTCTTCGGAGACGATCCCCGCGTTTGAAGACTTTGCTACTCTTCTGCAACTGTTTTTCAGGAGGCATCTTCTTAGGGTCATTCCTACTCCATCTTCTTCCAGAATCACAAGAAAAACTTAAAGACGTGTTTCCAGATGAGGACTTCCCAGTCAGTGAAGCACTGGTGGCGGCGGGATTTTTCCTGATTCTCCTCATCGAATGCACAGCTCTGGCGTGTTATCAAACGGAACATACCTCATCCCAACATAATGAACGTAGCTCTTTGCTTTGCAATGAAAACTCCTCCGCTGTAATAGAGCCAGCAGAGGAGGACGTACATGAGCATGGAATTATCGGCGACTCTTCTATTCTACGAACAGTCTTCTTTCTATTAGCGCTTAGCATACATTCATTATTTGAGGGGTTTGCTATAGGACTTGAGACATCAAAAAAAGAGGCCCTTCAATTATTACTTGCTATAGGCATACATAAATCATTAATTTCCTTAAGTTTCTCTTTTAACCTTGCACGGCAGAACATGACCATCTTGGTACAAATGATATTCTTGGCGATATTTAGTTTTTCTTCTCCACTAGGCATCGGCATCGCAATCGCATTGTCAGAGAATCCAAATGCACTCCTCAACGGCATCTTGCAAAGTCTGTCAGCTGGTACGTTCCTGTATGTTATATTTATAGAAATTGTTCCATCTTTGAATCTTCATCACCATCGTGGTCCCTTGAAAGCCCTGGTAATGATGGTAGGATTTGGGGTTATGATTGGTCTGCATTATGTTGAATGAAATAAATCATTCTTTGCGCTCCTTAGCCTTAGGCAAGGCACTTTATCTACAGTTGTCTCTCTCCACCCAGGAGTAGGCCTACACGTGGGTACCTGGTAGGTTCAAACACAGCCAGCGCTGAATACAGCTGCAAAATCATGCAATTCCCCCATGGGGCTTGAGTGTGTGTTCCATATGTGCTTGATCCAGTGATCCGGGGGTAATAATGTTCAAGCGCCTCGAGCTTGTGTCAACGTGAGGTGCTATATAACTCCAGAATTGATATTTTTTATTTATTTACTCTCTCTGCTCTTCATTGTCCCTTTTTTTATGGAAAGGAATTGGTGAAACAGCTTTTCCAGCTACTGCTCAATTGAACTATTGAATGCCCTTCTTTCTTATGGAATTCTACAGCCCATCTTAAAAAATATATACACCACCATACCTTTCTATTCCTACTTTTACCCATCATGTATTATTTATTTCTTTTTCAGAAGGCCTTGTATCTTTAAGTAAAACATCCTTTTTATATTCAATACTATCATCATCATTATCAGTATTATTATTATTATTATTATATCGTCGTTGAAGAAGGTGTCGCAAAGGCGCCGATGACAAGCCAGTTTTGTTTGCTTTAATAGGCGCTTTAAAAATGTGTATTATTATTATTATTATTACTGCAACAGTGAAGTGATATCACTATTTTTTTTAAAGTTAACTATATTACACAAAATTTAATAAAGTTGCTCTCCAATTCAAGACCGCTTTTGGGATCCAAAAATAATGGATGCTCTCTGGGTTTGGTCTTCAATTATGGGTTGGCTTTGTGTTAAAAGATTGAAGAATGTTAGTTGGTAAAAAACTTTAAATAAGTGGTCTTGAATTAGTGGGGTCCTGGAATGAGAGGTCTCTCAGGATAAGGGAAGTCTCGAATTGGACGTTAAAGTACAGTATTAGCAGCTTGAACATCATTATCAAAATATTTAAAGTATGTTGGCTAATTAAGAAAGGTGATGTAAAAAGTCAAATATATCTTGTATAAACACAGAAACTGTTTATATCCTGTGCTTTTTGAGAAAATATATTATAAACAAATTCTTCCATCTGTATTTATCACTTGGTATGCGTTCCTCCATATGCTATATATAAATTATTATATAACCATTATAAAACCATTATACATATTGTATAACAGGATGTTGAAACTGTAGGAAGTTTAATGTGATTTATGCTAAACATGCTTGTGAATGATATACACAGTATCCGTTTCATTTTTGCTAGAACTTCTTTTTATTGACAAAGTGATGAATTTTCGTAAAATTGTTATTACAAAATGGAATTGGTATAGTTATATTCGGTAATGTAGATGGGGAATATTGAACAAAGAATGCGCAGAAAGTGACAAGAGATTCTGTGAGGCCTGAAGGCAATTTTTGAATGCATTATTTGATATCAAGTCCAACATTTTATTCTATTGTATGGAACTGATTTATAAGTCAATCACCTCCCTTCTCAGTATCTCAACTCTTGCCATGAATGACATTGGCCGAGGCCTGGCTTAGACATAGGAACTTTAAAAAACTGCAAAAGGGTCTGCTATGTCAAATGTTTATCAGTTTCATCATATTTTAGGCCTAGACAGAAAAAAAAAATCATAAAAGCATGATCAAACTTATAGTCACCTTTCTTCATCTGTTTAGAAAGGTAAGACTAGGGGCGGATCCAGTAGGGGGAATGTTCCCCCTCCCGCTTCCCGCGAAATTAGCGCTCTCTCTTATCTATTCTGAATATGTTGTGCCCTCCCCCCCCCACCCAGTTTGAAAAATTCTGGATATGACCCTGGTTAAGACCATTTAAGTGCACTTGGAGAATTTAACACGAAGCAATCTTCTTCATTCTTGTGTGTAAGGGAATGGGTAGGGGAGGGAAGGGGAGAGGAGAGTGTTTCAGTATCAGTCATCTAATACGCTATCCAACCAGTCTTCCAAATCGCCATCATCTGGTTTAATGTCACAAGGCACATCTGAAAACAGAAAATGAAAGATGTGAAAAGAATGAATCATGCCATTCTTGAAAATGCTGTCTCTTATACACATCTACTTTATCACTTATTATCACTCTACAGACTGTTTCATGCTAATGCAATCTTCAGGAGTGAGAGAATACAAGGATTGTGTGAGTATATGAATGCTAAGACAGGTAAAAATGCAAATGAGTTAATTGTTTTTAAGTAGGTATTTGTTGCTGTGCCTGCATTTAGACAATAGCTCGGTTCTTTTGTTTAATGTTGACTGTTTGTCTGAATATATTATGTGAAGTTTCTCGGTTATGCACAGGTTGCAGCTTTTTGTTTTTGGGGAGTAAGCTGATGTTCTGTCGATGGTAGACCATTTAATGTTGTAGGGTGTGTTGCTATCTTTAATGTTGTAGGGTGTGTTGCTATCTTTATCAATATTTACGCTCTGCAATAAATATATATAAATAAGTTTTGAACGTTAAGAAAGAGGAATCTGCAAGTGTGAAAAAATAGGTGCCCCAACTGAAATTCGAATCAGGGAACTTCTGCTGTTTATGCAGACGCCTTAACCAACTGGGCCATTAAGATATATGCATAGGCCTATGTGTGTGTATATATATATAATGTATTGTAGAAAGAGAAAAACTCTAAACCATTTTGCTGTAATGCTGAACTATATATGAACAAGGAATTATATTTTCTGTATTCATAAAAATAAGCAAAAGAGTCTAAATGGTACTTGAGTTACCATTTTTTAGTTTCTGTTCATGTTAATTGGAATATAAAAAATACTTTGAATAAACTCACATTCAGTTTCAATACCTTGATCATCCTCATCCTGGTCACTTGAGATTCTTTGTTGTGTTTTCACTGGATTATCAAGAGCCAATAGAAAATCAAGTTCATCATCATCGTCTTCTGTCATGTCTCGAACTATGACATCTGACTTTTTAAAATGTTCAGTTTCAACTGGATTTTTCTGGTTTGTACTGGTCCTACCACATTGTACGTTTTTATCTTTATCGCTCAATTGTGATTTTATGGAAAAATTAAGAGTCTGTTTCAATGAACTTTCTTTTGAAAAATCGACGTTTGGTTTTATATCAACAGGAAAACTTTTTTTATTCTCAACTGGGACAGCAGAAATCTTTGATTCCTGAGATTTGTCCTTATTTAGTTCTGTCATTGGTAAAATTCCTCTTGCATCGCTAATGTTACCGATTCCAAAATCTTTTTCAAAAATCTATAATAAAAAAATATGGCATGTTAATGTAAAAATAGTACTAAAATATATTCAAAATGAGACCACTAAGATGGTTAACAAAGTTTCTCTGCTTACTCTGAATACCTCCTCATCAATATTCAATCTCTGTGAGATTGGTAGAGACTGAAGTTGCGAGACCAACGACTGCACATTCAACCGGAGGACATCCATATTGCCCTGTGACAAATGAAATGAAGTAAAATGAAAGTACATTAGGCAACATTAAAAGATGGTAACTACTGTAGTACAGTATAACATATTCCTTAAAGATGTATTGTTCCATACCAAAAAAAAAAAAATCATAAAAATCATTTTTGAAATTAACTTGACCATTTTGAAGTAACAGAAAAATTATCAACTTGAACATAGAAATTAGTGTACTTAAAATATGTTAACCCATCATTTTACAGTGAAAAATGATAGAAACACTTCTAATCACTTCTGTCTCTGTGATCCTGATCTTCACCTTTGAACTTTTCATCCCCAAATTTAATCGCCCCTACCTTAGACCCATGTACCACGCCATTAAATTTCATGATGATCTATTGGTTTGCTTATATGTAATCTTGACAACAGACACAGGTGCGGATTCAAGGGGAGGGCCCACCTGGCCAGGGCCCCCTTTTGGAAAGTCAAAAAAAATAAATAAAAGAAAGAAAAAAAAAAAATAGATCGCCCAAAAGGCATCAGAGGTTATTTCGGGAGTCTAGAACAGAGAAGTTTTGCGGAGGAATGCCCCGGACCCCCTAAAGTATTGTTATCTCGATTGGCCCAACTTTCGGCCCCTTCTGGGCCCCCATTTATGGACATCTCTGGATCTGCCCCTGAGACAAACAGCGATGAATACATAACATCCTCAGCTACTCTACAATTTCTAAAGAAATGATTACTGGCTTTAGTTATCTTACCTCCTGCTGCTGATATGTGTCATCCTGCCAGTCTTTTTCATCTTGGAAGCGGAACTGAGCAGATGAATCATCTAAATAATAATAATAATTATTAATAATAAACAATATTATAATAATTTAGCACATATAATTATAGGCTATATTACTAAGATTTTACACTGACCTTCTTTAGCGAGTAGAAGACCCAAATCAGCACCCCTCTGCGTTACTCCCTCATTTTCAAGATCCTCAATGTCGCCATATCGACTCCAATTACTTTCAATTTTGCGTCTTGAAAAAGTTGATTGCCTTTCCTTCAGTAAGGAATAATTACAGTACAATCAGCCTGAGTACAATAATGATTACAAGACATTCACAGTAATTTTCATTATTCATCTAACCTAGAAGTTTAAACTATAGTACTTGGATGTACAGTACATTGCATTTACACTAGCAACAACATCTTGAGATTAGTAGTGGCTCCTGTAATCTTAGTTACGGACATGAAAGGGGTATCATATTAACACATCTTACCCAATGGTTAAATTAGCTAGGTAAATTCAGCCCATAGAGCAAAAACTTGTCCAAAGAGTCCTGTGCTGTGCAAACGTGCCTCCTTGTGCTTTATAAATCAATTATGCAAGTAAAATATTAAGAAAAATTTAAAGATGTTGATGGGTTGGGATGGGTTGAAGATCCCTCAAGAAGGCCCCATCGATCAAGTACTTAGCCTTAGGTACTGTAGTCCTAGAAATTTCAGTGATAGTACTTTAGCCATACAATAACATGCCATTACTCGGCTACTGCAGACTGCAATTAATTATTAATAAATACTTATCCTACTACTAGGCCTAGGCGGTATCCGATCATTTCGGTCGCGTCTTCATTTCGGTCACCCTATTTTCGTTATGCATTTCTATCGCAGTGTATGGCGCACCGACGGTGCGACTGCAAATCTGGAACAAGGGACCTAAGCAGTATAGTATTTTTATAAACGCAAAACTTACTGTACATATTATTTGTATTACTGTACTATAGTATTATAGTTTATGATTATTATTAATATTACGTGTATCACTTGGTGTTATTTTTCTTTTTTACAAAAACAACAAAAATGTTATAAAGTCAACTTGGATTGAGACGAGTTTCTCTTTAACGTTTGTTGCAATATATATTTTATTAATGCATAAATTGAATGGAGATTTATTAAATAAATATAGTCAATAAATTAGTTTTTTATACATTTGTTTTCTTGTCTGTTACGTTTCCATTTATCTTGAATGTTCTGATCATGTTTATAATTTGATTAATGAACTGAATAATATATGATGAATGAAAATGAAGGAAATATATAGTTTTTTCATATTTATTTTCCACATTTAATTTTCAATATATTTATCATTAAACACCGTACATTTTAATGGCCCATTTCAGGCTTCGTTTATATTCATAAGCCCGACAAAATGACTCTTTCTAGTCCTATTCTATAGTTGCGCTAGAATTTAATTTCCCACAAACTAGATTCCCATTGTACTCTTTAGGTGAAGCAGCACAAGGTTTGTATTTTCTTGTTTGTTTTATTTCCATTTTTTATACATATTCTGATGTTTATAAAATAAAATAAAATGTAAAGTAAAATGCAGTTTTGATATATAATTTTAGGCTAGGCTAGGCCTGGCCCTAGATATTACATCTGGGTACTTTTGTCCAAAACAGTGTTAATGTTATATTTAGCCTAAGAAACTAAGCCTACCTTATACAACCAACCACTTTCAACACAACTTTTGTATCCGAATTAATTACACTTAAGCCCATGCTTACCCCTCCTGATAGTGTTTGCGAATCATCGTTGGAGGCCGCGGATCCACTACGAGCCGAGGCGGTTTCGTTGGAGGGACCTCGACGACTATCACTTTCATCGGGAGGCTCCTTAGGCTTAGGCCTAACTCGGTTGTCACTTTTCCCAGTAGTTTCTACAGGTTTTTGCTTCGAAGTGCTACTTGATCCGTGCCCACTTTTCCCATGTTTATGTTTCTGGTGGCGTCTAATCTTTTGATGCTTTTCAGGTCGCATATTGTTATTAAATTGTATTAAAATACTACGAACTGTACAAGCAAACAAATATAAACAAAACGTGTGGTTCTTCATTAAACGCCCTCTGTCGACATAGGTAGCTTCTACCCGCTACTAAATATTCATGATTTTATACCTAAAATTAAAATTTCAAGCGTAAATTATGTATTATTTATACATATAAGTTAACATTTACTGTGTGTTATTGATTTATGGTAATTTATACCTATTAGTATAATATAAATGAATGTGTTGTTATTAGAATATAATTTATGACACTCACCAACAACAGAAAGTATTACGATATATTAGTGATCTGCAGCACTGACAAATTTAAGATCATACTTTTAGGGATCATTTCTATAGTTTGTTTCACGGAGAAGCAAAAAAAGTTGATCAAATCGCAAACCCACGAGGACGAATGTAAGCATTCTCTTCTGAGCGCGAAGCGGGGCTTGAGAATTCCATCTGGAAGGACCTAGCTCATTGATGACCGTTCCTCCAAAACTTCGGTTTTGGATGGAGGGAGAGAATGCAATCTGAGTGGTTGCGAAAACATTTTTAACTGAATAAAAATAGAAATGAAAAGAAAAAAGCAAACGTCTTCTTTATTAAACGGCCCCTATTAGCATAGCAGCTATTACCCTCAACTAAAATTATTCATAAATAAAAAATACAATTTTAAATCAAACTTCAAACTTCAGTTTTCAATTAATCATTCTATTATTCCTAAAAATAATTTTAAATTTGCTATGTATTATTGTTTTAAGATAATTTATTCCTATTAATATAACATTTATGTTTTTATTAGAATATAATTTGACACTTACCGGCAACAGAAAGTATTGAGATATACTAATGATCTGCAGCTGATAAATAGTTCAGATCATACTTTTAGGGATCATTTCTATAGTTTGTTTCACGGAGAAGCAAAAAAAGTTGATCAAATCGCAAACCCACGAGGACGAATGTAAGCATTCTTTTCTGAGCGTAAAGTGGGGCTTGAGAATTCCACCTGGAAGCAACTAGCTCATTGATGACCGTTCCTCTAGAACTTCGGTTTTGGAAGGAGGGAGAGAATTCAATCTGAGTGGTTGCAAAAAACATTTTTAATTGTTTAAATATACTAAAAAAATATATATATAATTAAAACATGCAGTACAAACAATAAACAAAAGGTGTTCGTCATTAAATGGCATTTGTCATTACCAGCTACTAAATATTCATACAATGTAAATTAAAAACCTCAATTTCAAATCAAATTTCAAACACAAGTTCTCATTTAATCTATCTATTATTTCTAAAAATAAATTTGAATTTACTATGTATTATTGATTTAAGATAATTTATTACCAATAATATAAAAATTAATGTGTTGTTATTAGAATATAATTTGACACTTACTGAAAATAAAAGAATATTGGGATATATTAATGATCTGCAGCTCTAAATAAGGTAAGATCATACTTTTATAGATCATTTCTATAGCCCCTGCCCCCCCCCCCTTTTTGGGAAGTTTAAAAAAACAAAAAAAAACAAAAAAAGAAATAAAGAAGAAGATAAAATTGATCGCCCAAAACGCCTTAAAGGTTATTTTTGGGCGTCCAGAAAAAAATTTTTGTGGAGGCATGCCCTGGGACCAAGGGTGGTATTATCTCGATCGGCCCCACTTGCAGCCCCCTTTCGGACATCTCTGGATCCACCCCTGCCTAGCTCATTGATGACCGTTCCTCCAGAACTTTTGTTTTGAGGGAGAAGAGGGAGAAAATGCAATCTGAGTGGTTGCGAAAACATTTTTAACTGAATAAAAATAGAAATAAAAAATAATAAGCAATGTTCACTCTTTCTACCGGTGTATTTTTTGCAGTATCTGACCAGTTTGTCGAATACAGTTCACCAAAATCCTCTACAACCTAGTTTGCCTAAAACCCAGTTTGCCGTATCTTGCCATCACCGTGGTGGAGATTAAGCCCGCACATTAACCTGTGCAGACAATACAGTTTATATTGATGTTTTGGTTTCCCCCTCCCCAACACTTTACATCAGTTCTACGTGCTTTGATTGATGCTACAAATTGAATATCTTCAAACCCAATATAATTACAACAAACTAGAATTTATGTTACTGAAATGATGAAAATTTGCAGTGTAATATATATGATGTCAGATGTAATACATACCAGGATATACATATATACATGCATACAAGTTGAACATTCTAGAACTTAAACACAATTTGTACCATTTGTATCGTTTCAACTGTAATGCCAATTCATTTATATTATATAAACTATTACTGTATATGGAAAGATGACATGAAGGAGTTGAATGGAATGGACCAATCAGCATGTAACATAAGTAGCTGACACTACGTGAAATTAACCAAAACGTTGACAAAAGAGAACATTGATGATAATATAAATAATAATAATAGTGTATAATAATAATATATCCACTGGGGAAATACTCGTCTCCAAGGTATATTACTAAATTAAATCATAATTTCTATCTCAACTCCGTCTGATGAAAGCTCAACTCATCTCTGCAGTTACAGAAAAAACAACATGGGATTAAAAAAAATGAGTAATGTTAAGTGTGTTCATAACAACTCAACACAATCGTCAGACTGTTATCTATAATAATTCAAATGAAGCAACATGATATTTCCTGCATGTCTCGCCATCTCCTCACGAGACAATTACACAATTCTAAATTCTAAATTCAAAAACAAATTCTCTACTTATCACTCCCCTTACCTTCAATTTTTCTGTCAAAAAAATTAAAGTATTCCATAGATAGATTTAAAGCAATTTCATATGAACGACAGCTGAACAACGAGAAGCGAGGGAGTTGGCCACTGTGAGAAAGGGGTGGATTATATTGATTGAGAAAGTAAACACTTAGTTTACAAACGACCTATTAGCGACAGTGGCGTAACAACAAGTCACAGGGCCCGGGGGAGAAGAAAGTTTTGGGGCACATGTATTTTAGTAATCAACTACGGGTGTTATAAAAGTACAAGTAGCCCCCTTCACAGTAGAATATCACTTTACAGTACTTCATGTCATGCGAGTCCACATACGACAACCTGGGTTTACATTGTTTCAATTTGTGTTCAGGTGTCTTCTACTTGACCATAATGACAATGCTCTGTTAGAATATTGCTGTCTATTTACTGAGTGGGAGCGGCTCTGTAACCGTATCAATCAATAATTTCTTTACCTTTTTTTCCCCCCTCCTTTTTTTTTTACTTTCCAAAAGGGGGGTGGCTAGGGCCTCCCCTTCTATCTTCTCCAGGCTAAAAGACCTAAAGAAACTTGGATTAACTATTTTCAGAACATTTGTAATACATAATATTTATGATCATGAAATAAAGAAAGTAATACAGATATATGTTTTAATAGCTTTTATTGCACTCATCACTAATTCATCTTTCAATCAACACTATCCCTTTTCTTTGGAAATCATGAAATTGGTCACAAATGATGAATTATTAAAGCATTTCATTTAGATTTTCATAAGGAAACAAGACAATCCTAAAAACAGATATGAGGAATATAATCATTTCTAATATATTTAGTGTTCGTACCACAGACCTATTAATCCATGTTCATACTGTTGGAAAACAAATAATATATTACATCTAATTTGTAACTATTAAATTACAAAGCTCTTGTTCAAAATTCAAATCCATCTAGCAAAAAACACTGCAAATATGAATACTGTAATCTAGAAATTAAATAGTGTATCATAAAAAAAAACATCTACAGTAGACCCAATCAGTGGCATATCCAGGATTTTTAAAGGAGGGGTGCATAATAGAAATATTATGGCTACGTTCAGACTTGGAGATAAACCAGGCTTGAGTTAAGCCCAGCTCAAACTTTAACTGGGTTTAGCCAGGCAAGAATTTGCATAATAATGAACCGTAACCAGGAAACGTGTTTCAAAACATCGCTTGCAAAACGTACGCTAGCTCGCAGCGTACGTAATTGAATGCTGATTGGTCATTTTGTCACCCGAAGTCAATGCAAGAACCCCCCGCAACGATTAAAGCCTTGCTTAGAAAAGTTAAACACGGTGGCGCACCAGGCCTAGTTACTATAGGAACACAGCCCGGGTTGAGATAAGCCACCTAGTTCAGACTGGCAGGTGGATAAACCCGGTGAATTGAGCCGGGTTTATCCACCTTGTCAGAACTAGGCCTGAATCTACTGAACATATGGTGCAAAATAAGGACGGGGCACATAGATGCCTATGACTGCAACATAAGTTGGCTTTTAATGTCTGAAGTAACTTACTTTATTAATTTAATAATCTTTTTAACGACTGAACAAAAAGGAGGTGCTCAGGCACAGTAAGCACCCACTCACCGTCCCTAGTAACGCCACTAGCAATGAATAATATCAAAATTTAATATTGGTATTTTAAAAATGACCGAACACCCCAAAAATCCAATATACTGTACAGTAATATTGAATTGTTGCATGCATATCTTCAACAATCAATCAATCAATCAATAAATCACTGCATTAGTCATTAAAATTAATAATATAACATAAGCATATTTTGTCTTGTTTTCCAGACAAAAGTCAATTTTGGGCTCTTAGTATAGAGATACGATACTCTTCATTCTGGTAATTATATATTAATAATTATGGTCCTAAATGTACAATTTGTTTCTTACAAAATTTGTTTTGTATTAATGTAAACAATTCATAATCGATATTATATCAATATTTAATATTTTATTTTTTAACATTTACTTCCTTCTATCTTTTCATTAAAGAATTAAAGAATTCAATTAAAATTGTCCTAGTACTGTTGGAGATTTATCATAAACAAGTGAAGTTTGATATTAGAAATATTTTTTTTTATGTTGAATCAATAAGAACTTAGGGGATAATACAAATTTTTAAAAGATAATATATTAAAAAAAGAAGTTGAAGGCCCTTCAACTCGACAAGAAGTATCAAGTAAGTAAAAAACATTTTTTTAATTAAAAACTCATATGTAGAATATCTCAGCAAGAAAATCTCTACCACTATCTGAAAACAATGTTCATCATTTCTCTCACTATATTCTACAAAACCCTTTTTTTTATTTTGACTGCAGAATTTGTTCCCTCACTCCTGGAAACATATTACCCCCTATCCTTACTGAACTTCATTGACTCTTTGTTAAAAAAATGGATTACATTTGATATATATACTGTATTAGTTTTTAATTCCCTTTCCTTAAAATCCTCAGTTGTGATTTTCAACACTAGCCACAACCCATATAATAATTTGACAGTAAATTGCACAGCAACATTTATAAGATCCTTGAAATTTGATGCTCATGTTTTACACTATTCAACATTGGTATCACTATTACATCAATTACAACAATTTGTTAAATGACCCATCATATTTTTTTGCAGTATCTAATCCCTTATGCTCGCCTGCCCCTTGCACTTTGTTCGGCCAGCAAACCATGTTTAGCTGGTACTGTATGTTCTTATTACCTCTCCCGGTATTAGTGTGGTAATATCAACTGATACATAAGTATTCGTTAGTGATGGCAATGTGCTTTCAAAAGCTGGTGGCTAAAGGAAAAATAACAGTACAGTAACTGATCCAGAAGTTCAAAAAATAGATGGCCCAGGGAGCACCTATGGATGGTCGAAAATTGCCTCTCAGACTTAAATTTGAATATAATTTTCTTTTTTGCTCCAATTTACCTCCTTGAATCGAGAAATGGATTTAGGGGGCCCCTTTTGGAAAGTTAAAAAAAAAGGAAAAAAAAGAAAGAAAAAGAAAAAAAAACAGATCGAAAATAGACCAAAACACAAAATCTAGAACACATAAATTTCGCGGGGCATCCTCCGGACCCCCTTGGATAATATCATCTCAATCGGCCCTACTTCTAGCCCTCTTTTGGACATCTCTGGATCCGCCCCTGAAATCTGCCTACTAGCAACCATCTCTCAGAAATAATCTTAAAGCTTATGATGAACATTCTGTTTCTGTTCAGACCCCTATCTTTGGAATAACCTATTTCTACTTAACAGTCTCCTAATAAATTTCATTCAAGTCTGAAAACTAGATTAATCATAAAATCAATGCAATCAGAATCACCGTTGGTGCCATATTTTAAATGCAGTGCTATAAATTTCTGCTATTATTAATATTATTAAAGTGTGCGAGGAAAACAACATGTCCAAAAGCCAATTTCTTTAATACATCCATCCTCTCTATCATTTCTGTAGAAAAACAAGGCATGTAGTAAACTTTAGCATCATATTACTGGGCATCTACCTCCATCATGAGGGCGCTATCATCATGTCGTTTAATGATGCACTTGATGTATGAGCCATATGTCCCTTATCGTCATCATCATCATCATCTAGTCTTCGCTTCAAACCTGTACATGAAAAAGAAAAAAAAATAATTAAGTGAACTGGTAAAAAAATTTAAAATATTTCTTTTGCATTTTCCTTGCTTAGCATTTTGACTGCACAGCAATGGTTTATTATTTTATGAACAAAAAACACCAAGGAGAAAAAGATAGGCTCCAGTTTAATCAAAAAAGTACTTAGTATGCATTGTTAAAAGTCAGGAGCCCTCTATCAGGAGTTGTTGTCTGGTACTTAATATTCATAAAAGCTACAGCACATATCAAATGTAATGTTTGTTTATACATCATAAACAATGTAAGTTTCCACATCATAAAGTAAAATGTTTACTTAAATTTAAATATTTTATTTAATAATAAATTATTTATAGAAAAAAAAATAAAGAAAATACTTTTTTTGCATAATTAAATTATAATGACATTTAGTAGTATGTGGAAACTTAGTTGTATATTATGCATAGAATAGCACCATACAATTAAGATCATACTTTTAGGGATCATTTCTATAGTTTGTTTCACGGAGAAGCAAAAAAAGTTGATCAAATCGCAAACCCCACGAGGATGAATGTAAGCATTCTCTTCTGAGCGTGAAGCGGGGCTTGAGAATTCCACCTGGAAGGACCTAGCTCATTGATGACTGCTCTTCCAGAACTTCAGTTTTGAAAGAAGGGAGAGAATGCAATCTGAGTGGTTGTAAAACATTACTTACTAAGGTTAATATTACAATATATATCTATTTTAATAAATGCCCTGAGGAGATTAGTGTCAAGGATTTTTGAGGGGTCATTTATTCCAAGGAGGCACTTATTTATTTGGGTTTAAAATGGGTCGGTATATACCCATATAAATGCTCTTTAATTTTACTTTAACTGTGGAACTACAACACATAACTTCTGTGAAAATGTATTATGACGTGATCATAAAAACTTATTGATCCCAATCCCCCAAAAAATGCAATTCTACTGAAGTAGAACATAATAGAATGTGTTGAGAATGATGTGGCTTATATTAGATTTGTTTACTCTCATTTCTTTTTTTTTTTGGAGAGGAGGGGGGGGGGGAGATGTTTATTCAAGAAAAAAATAATTTCCCAAAGCATTTATTCAAGAGAGTTGTTTATTCCAAATGAGGGTAGGGGGAGTTTATTCAAATAAATAAGGTATTTAGCTTATCAGATGTTTGATTATTGTTATTTTGTTATTTGTGACATAATAAACTAGACTACTGCAATGCAATACAAGATTATACACAATATATAAAATAAATGTTTGTCTCAGCTGCAATGGAACACTGTACAAAATATTTTCATCTGTTTACAGAATTTCATTTAATAGCAAAGTAGCGCCCTCTGGAGACACAAAAGTTTCTGTCTATCCAAAAGAGGTTTGATTCATTTCACTTCATCTCCCGCATACAAAAAACAATTAAGAGATTTACATAATGTACTTCATTGAATATGCTACCACACCATTGTATATTATTATGTTTATTATTATGTTTTTTATGTTTATTATCATTTTTATGTTGTTTTTGTATTTAGTAGTGCATATTATTCTCAAGACTATGTTCTTCACTGAAACAAACAAGCATTGAAGACACACTGCTTCATTGAATGTTTTTACATAGCTAGTTTCAGCATATTAACATGAGGTTCTCACTTATACTACTGTGTAGAGACACAACATGGATAAAAAGTCTTGCCAATGGGCACAAGAGAAATGCAGAGCAAGGGATTCGAACTTAAAACCTCAAAACTGAGAGCCAAAACCGCAATATCTGCGCCAACTACTCCCAATGAAACACTCCTCAAAAGAATTTAATTACATTTGGCATTGCGAATTGTGCCATAAATGCATAAACATCTTTATTTATAACTACAAATTACGAAAACCTAAGCCTCTGTCTCGGTGGAATGATTGAAATGAAATGATTAGATGTAATGTCAAACACAGAGCTCCATTATCGGGCCACCAAAACAAGAAATTGCCATTAAAAGTTCAATGCAACTTATATGAAGAGTATGAAGAGTATGAAGAGCTGTGACAAATATTCCATGTGACAATCAGGCAAGTTGTCACAAATGTGTCACCAAATTGACTGGCACTGATCACACTGTAGCAGACTTCAATGAAAACATGGGGATGATTAAAATTGGGTGTTGCGAATTTAATGAATTGTCATTTTAATGATTAATGGGTAGTGAACAGTTATCAACTTTACAATACAGCAGATTGGCAATAATACAGTTGTAAACAATTCAGATTTTTTTTACTACAAAAATCAAAAATTTATTTCCTGCTAATTTAACAAGAAATATAGTACTATTATTATTATACACATCTGCAACGAATATTTTATATTTAAAATTTTCAATTATTATTATTATTATTATTATTATTATTTTATAGGAGTTATACAGTGTACATATCCAGAAAACTTCTCAAGGGGCTTTCCCCTGGTCATTGGACAACCTTCGCTGCTCCCTGGGGAGTATTCCTAGTTATGCGTGTAATCGGCACTACTAATTTAATTCCGAATTATTCACCTCCTACCAAGTACCCATTCATACTCCTCGGTGAAGAGAGGCAAATGCAGATAAACTGTTTTGCCCAAGGACATAAGCAGTGTGATGAGTATCAGTTTCGAACCCCCGACCTTTTAATTGAAAGTCCATGCCATAAATATATGAAAATGATAAAAGTAACCCCTAACCTTGAGTGACTTTCAGGGCTGTATTTAGGATAAATGTGAAGAAAACTTTCATTCAGAGTATACTTAAATTAATTGTAAATTATGGGCTTTGCGAAATCAATTTTTAAGGCACGGTACAAATTTCTGTTTAATTAATAATACTAATTATTATTTCATGTGAAGTAAATAAGGAGTAATGGTCATTCCATTTCAGTATAATATTCTAAACAACCTAATCAATCAATCAAACCAATCAACTGATCGATGACCGACTGACCAGTCAATTTATATGGTTTATTCTATATTGCAGAAATACAAAGAATAAGGGGTATGTGTTTAACTGCGTGATGTCTTGTTTTCAGTTCTTAGACTGACCCACAATGGCAGAGTAGATTAAAATGACATCAACTCCCTCTGAACTATCAGTCTAAATGTCACTCAGTAAATCTGTCAGCCCTGAGAGTTGCAAAGTCACTCACTCATTTTAGTGATCAATCATGATCAATCGTTTAGAAGGGACCAAGCTAACACAAGTCATAAATCCCAAATGGGTGACACTCAGGTTTCAGATTGTAAGTTTACCCCTAAGGGACCTTTAATTTGAGGCCAAGAAATAAGCCTAATTTTTTGGCGGTAGAAAAACAGCCCAGATTCCAATAGAATGATCAAAAACCTCCCTAAGGGATCTTCCTGACTTCAGATCAAGAAATAAAATGCCATATTTTTTGTAGAAAAAACAGCTCAAATCCCAAAAGGATTGAGGCCATCCCTAAGGGACTGATTTTAGATTGAGAAAATGAACCTCATATTTTCAGAAAAAAAAAAAACAGCAAATTATATCAATACCGTTCTTTCTAATCATGCAAGACAAGACCAAGAAACAAGATTTGGTTATGTTTCTATAACACAGGTCAAAGTATTGAATAGTTTTAATAGGGGTTTGAACTTTAGGTTCAGTGAACAATGTATCCAGGATTGTATAATTAATTATCATATCAGGCAAGTATTTTAATACTTTCGACAACTTGCCGCCGAAATAGGTTGCCAGAATGTTTGCTAGGTTCTTCAACTCATCACCCACTCCACAATTTTTAAAATGACAAGTTTGTTAAAATTGCTGTCTGTGGTAAAATCCAATTTAGGTGTTTAAGGGAAAAAGAGATTGTATTATCTATGCATCTATTAATTTGGCAGAAATATATTCTTCTTAAATTGATAACATTCTTGATTGTTATAGATAATATAAATATATCACCAGTTTAATTTATAAATTAAATTTCTGAGATGTTGTTTCAGATTTTGCCAGAGAAAATAAATATATCTGTTAAAAACTCTTAAAAAAACATATTTAAATTTAATGAATTAAAAAAACAAAAATCACATCCAGTATTTTCCAATCCTTTAATAATGAGCTACCTTTAAACATGTTCAATGGAGGATGATCTTATAGAACAAAAAGAAGTGTTACTTGGCTAAATAGATAACCACAGTAGGCCTATATACTTGTTGGTCTTTAGATGTACATATGGAGAAATACCATTAATATGCTTAATATTATGAACATCAATATTTCATTTATTTATTTGTAATATAAACTCAGATGCTCTGTACACGCATCAAATTCTATGTGAAAAATACCTGCGATTTGCCCATATATGGGCGCATACATCATCATGCCCATATATGGGCGAATCATAGATATTTGTCGCATAAAACCTGATGGTGCAAATAAGGTATAACATATATTTTAATAAAGTGGCTTATTAAAAAGAACTGGTTTGCAAAATTCATGAAATATTATAGTCTGATAGCAGCTTGAATCAGTCGGCTAAACTGGTGGTAGTAGCTACTGTGTGTGCGCTGAACCATGGCGATCATTTGGTTCCCGGTCCAATTTCCATCGTTGCTCTCCTTGCATTTTTCAGCTAGAGGGCTGAAATGCAAGTTACGATAGCGCACCGTCTTTCGGATGAGACGTTTAAGCCATTGGTCCCGTGTGCATTATGGCCCATGTGCACGTTAAAGAACAGTACACTCTTCGGAAAAGAGTAGGAGATTGTCTCCCAGAAGGACCCCACTGGGAATAAGTCTTCTTCAGACTTTCGTGGGTTATCCTTGGTGTTTACACCAAATAAAACCAATCCAATTCAATTCAGTTTGACTCATTTCTGTTGTTTTACCTGTGATATGCGAATCCTGTTTTTCGATATCTCTCTTTGCTAGTTGGGCTCTGGCTTTACAAATAGGTTCATATTCCTGAAAGAAGAAAATACTTAGATGAGATATTGTGTTCACATGAACACTTCCCACACTACAAACCAGACATGCCAACGATGAGTTGAGTGCACTCGTGCGGAAAACCTGTACAGCGTATCCGTGTTTGGTGAGTGGCACGTTATGTCTACGGCTGGCAATCTGAATCGACGTGTCGGGAAATATGAGATGAGTATCCTGTAACCCAAATGTTTTAACATGACAGTTGACTCGAAATTTTATGTCAAACAAATTATCGAGAAGTGCTCTAGCTTGGAGGGTAGGGTGCTTGTCCTACAATTTCAGGATCACGGTGTAAACATCGCACAATTTTTCTCATAGATGAAAACAACTAAAATTTGTTTGACATCTAGAAACAGGGACCAAGAAACATGAAGTGCCAAGGGAGGGATGATACATCATGCACTCAGGTTGTATTTTTACACATATTTTGTTTAACATAATACATGTTAAATGCTGTCATATTGCATATCATGCACAATAGACTGTCTATCTACTCCCTTTGACAAGCTTTCTTAACCTTGTTTATGTAAAACTGCTGCCCACTGATAATGATCGCTTCTTGAGTGACTCAACACTGTTAAAAATGGTCATTGGTTACGGTATTCTAAATAAAATTTATTATGCCCACAGTTAATGATCTTCAGTTATGTATATTACTTCACCACAATAAAATTATAAAGCATTTATCAATCCAATTACTAAACTGTTTACAATAGATCACATTCTGTGGCCACCCGATAGGATTTTCAAAAGTGCAAGGGGTAGATTTAGGGAGAAGAACAGGGGGCACATGTCCCCCAGTTTTGCCACTGCCATCTAAATATGTTACACTATTTCACTAATACAAAATTTCATATACTGAACAGGAATCATAAAATTATTGGATATTTATTTATAAGTATTCTTATATTAGATCTAGGCCTATATGAAATTGGTGCCCCCTCGTTCCAAAAATTCTAGATCCGCCCCTGGAGTTCCCATCAGTACTCTTTTACCTCACACATTATTCATTAATAACATTATATTTTTATATTCTCCTCTGACCTAAGAGTATACCACTAAAATAATGCAAGCCTTGAGAGATGACTTGTATTAATAATTACTTTCAGATGTTTATAAAATTCTAGGGCATGATGTCATGTGGTAGATGCTCTGGATAATGCAGTCCGTCGAGTAAGGATATGAATTGTCAGAATTGGTCTAAAATACTGTGGACTAGATAATGAACAAGGCGATCAAGGAAAAAACAGTCTACATGACTCTTCTCTGACCAATCGCAAACATAAACCCCAGACAAACTGAAAAACTGGCTAGAAAAATTTTTCATTTTTAACAGTGAATTCGGAATAATTATTGGGTCATGGATGGACATTCTGACAATAAACAACCAAAACCTTTAAAACTACCAACAGAGATTACATCATGCTATTTTTGTGCATATATCTAAATATAAAATGAAAGACAATGTAATATTAGTTTATGAATAAAAAAGTTGGCTGCAAAACTTCATTGAAGGCAACTTTTTGTTTGCTATCTCTTTCTCTCCTTTGTATAGCTTCATATAGATATAAATTCTATATATATAAACAGGAAAAAAAATTAAAAAAAGATACATAATTGTTTTCAAAGAACTTTATTTTAAATTATCTGTGATGAAGACATTTATTTTTACAGTAGCTCCGATGAGGAGCTCTAGGAATACCCGGTTGATTAATAATATTAATAATTTATTGGGAAACTACACTTTTGAAACATTGGTACACTTCACATGATAAAGGTGCGTCCAAAAAAAATAATACTTCAAACAGAATACAATACACTAAAGAAAACAAAGTATAAATTGAGTAACCACCCCCATCCAATACCCACCCTCAAAGTATTATATGCAATGATGCCTCAATAGTCATGTCAATCCCCTGATTGACCCTTATTCAATTAACAGTAAATATAATATATAATACGAAGTAAACAAAACTTAAAACTAAAAATTTAATAGATCTTTTTTGCTGATTAATTAGATCTTTTTGTATAGGCGGCCGTTAGGGCCAACATACTCTACTGCCTCTATTATACTGCCCTCATCAGAACTTTCGAGATTACGAGACCTTATTTAATAATTTACTTTATTTTATTATTAGTACTGTAGAAGTATTAGTATTTTTTTTTTAAATGAACCATTTGTAAGGTGTGTGTGTGTGAGTTTATATATATAAACATACATTTATGACTGAGGAAAATCCGTTCAATTTGATTACTATATTAATTCAGAGATTTAGTCACCTTATTACCCCCTCCTATCCCATGTGTAGATGTCCAATCCTTAGGGATATTATACTTCCAATCAAAATCCTGTTGACCTACAGGATAATTCCATCTGTCAGGCAATTCATATAATTATTTAAATCAAGTATATCATCGATGAATACAGCGCCGTCTAGACTATCTGCATGAATATTAATGCGGGGGTCAGCATCTACAGTATATACAGAGGATTAATTTTTGAAAATGTTAGCAAAGTACGTTGTTTAAAACTTTGTCATCACAATCTGGAAATACGGCACATAATTAATGTTTAATAGCAAGTACACTGGCTGAACTGTATGAGACCCCTGAGCCTCTATAAGGTCATAACGAGACTGAGGAAGTGTTTTATAAAATTTGAATCTAAGGCAAAACATTTCTTTAGATACCTTTATATGCAGGGGGTTGTAGATTTTTACGAATCCCGCACCCATTTACTGTGACTCATCATACCCAAAAAGAAATGACCTGAAATTGCCTAGGTTAGACACTAAAGTATTAGCCCGACAAAATACAAATGGTTCCATTTTCTTGCGTGCTTCAGTTAATGTAATTTTGACATATAAGGTGATCTGTATATAAGATGGACCCTGAGTTTGAGAAGATTTTTGGACGATTTTTTTGTATGTTGTTGTATCCGACGACTTCCTTGTTTCACTGTAGGTATTCCTACTTTTTGCTGTTTTTCAGGTCTTGATACTGCATCTAACTGGCTAAAATCTATGCTCGATCTTTCAAATAATACCATTTTATGGTCTTCTAAATGTTTATTGAAACCCTATTTCCCTGCATTCAAAATTCTGTTCATTCATACTAGCAGTAGCTTCACTTAAGTAGTAGTAAATTCACATGTTACAGATGATCCGTACATAAGACGAACATGATTTAAAAATCAAAAATTTGTATGTGTTTTGCGCATATGACGACCTCCCTGCTTTTCGTCTTGTACGTGAGAATAGACGGTCTGCCGACACTATCACGTTTTACGCGACAAATGTGTCATATGCTTATTATAGTCTGATGTCATTTCACACATATACGGGCAAATGACGGGCACTTGTCACATAAACTGGACAGTGTAGACACATGAATATACTCGTAACTAGCAGTTGGCATGCTAACCTTGCTATAGCTTCACTACCACATTTACTATATAACCGTTTAGTTTAGATTCCATAACATATGAATGTGATTTAAAATCGTTGTGCAGAATTTGAAATGTGAGAATTCCTTATATTAGTTATTTCCTGGTGTCTTCACCGAAAGAAAAGAAACCACATGGATGAGACTTAAGATTCAAAGAAATGGTTGCGGTTGGGGAGCTAAAAACAAAATTGGAAGGCATGAGGCAAATTGGGTTGGATTAAAGCAAGAATGACTAAGTCGAATATGACATTTTGCAGTACCAATAGTTCACTGTACATTTGTGGTTGGGGAACAACCACAAATAATGGGGAACAGGCCAACTACCGGCAATGTGAGGTAAACTTAGAAAGTTTAGTAAAGAGAACAGACCAATTACCAATGATGTACAATGATCACACATGACCTGCTGTGAAAGATGTCAATGATTGGTTTATAATTGTTAAATGACTCTAATTACAGGTTAGGTAGTTTTTTACCGTTGTTTTAACCACATACCGTAGATAGTGACCCTTCACACCAAGTCAAGATACAGTAGTCACTAGGTATTTAGGAATACACATAAATTAATTTAATCATATATAAAAGTCTCTTTGGATTGGGTTTTGGATTGGAAGTTAAGAATCTCCACGAAGCTAAAACTCCTCTCATTAACACTGCTAAGATTTAAGCCTAAGATCATTGCACTGGAATGCAAGCATCTTAACCACCAAGCTACAGTCCCACTGCATCAACATTGCAGGCTTTGAACCCATGACCCTGGGATTGGAAGGCAAGCACTTTAACCACCAAGTTACAGTTCCACACCATCAACATTGTAGGATTTGAACCCATGACCCTGGGATTGGAAGGCAAGCATCTTATCCACCAAGCTAAAGCTCCACTCCATCAACATTGCAGGAATTGAACCCAGGACCCTGGGATTGGAAAGCAAGCATGTGGAGAGGTAGTGCTTAGCTAGATGTTGGGATATGAACTGAGATGTGTCTAAGGTGAGGGTGCTAACATAAATATATACACAATATATAAGAGTTTCAAATTAACACCAACAATCATGTCGAAAAACAAAAAAATTAAGCATAATCTGGAAACAGTTCATCGGATATTTGAGGCTTTCCCCTTAGCCCTGGGGGTGAAAATGGTCTCGTTGGCCCAACATAACATCATGTTATGATACAATCGATCATGGATAACAGTGTCGGAAGAATGTGACCTATATAATGCCTTATATCGTGCAATTCGATGTAGCGCCCGTGCTAATAAATGTTTACCTTGTTACCATTTCACAGATGTTTTCAGTTGGTTTGCTAATTGGATGATCCGAACATTTCGTTTTGATATGAGAATAATTGAAATTCTCTGCAAATGTTGGCAAGATCTGTCTGTTGGACAACTAGTAGGTGTCAAGATTTTGTGAACCATAGCATGACTATGTAAAAGTATAATATTGTACTTTGCCTGTTATTGGTAAAATATATGATCAGTTTTCAGTATTTTTGACAGAATAGAGTAACCTTGTTTAATACTGTGTAGGG